ACTCAGTTAGTGAATCATTGTAAACCAGACGGTTATTTCATCCTAGTTTGAGATTCCTTAGAAGTGTCCACCTAGTTTTCCATCAGTAACCGAACCCGTAACATTCAGGTTTTCACTAACTTAGCATCCATAATGTGCATAGCACTTCTGCCTATTCGCCATATTGAGGAACCGTAATCCACAGCCATTAATAATTTTTATTTCACATATAATATGATGGAAATCTATTAGTCAATACTTCTCATTAAAACCCTAAGAATTACTGTTTAAAGTTGATGACTATTAAGTATACAGTGTTCATTTATTCCGTTTTTTTATTAGAAAGGAAACTAATGATTAGCACTAATAATTATGTTGATCATTCTTATATCTACTACACAAATTTCATGATTCATATAAGATTGAATTTAAGAGGATATATACACTCAGAAATTTTAACGAATCCATCTAATCTAGTAATGATCTACACAAACAAGAGTTGTATTAGATCATTTACTAAAGCTGATATAATTCATCAGCAATTTACTTATTGAACTGGTATTGACTAATGAATCATTGTAAATTAAAGAATAGTTGACTACCCAACAGCGTTACAAGACAAGCCCTCACATGGAATCCTCAAGGCCAAAGGAAATGAGGAAGATCAAAGAACACATTACGCTGAGAAATGGAAATAGACATAAGAAAAATGAAGAAGAATTGGATGGAACTAAAAAAGAAGGCCCAGGACAGAGTGGGTTGGAGAATGCTGGTCTGCAGCCTATGCTTCATTAGGAGTAACAGGCGAAAGTAAGTAAGTAAGTAAATAGTTAACTGATCATAGTTCAAGACTTACTGTTATTTCACACACACACACACATACACACTGGTTTTAATCTAGAAATGTTGATCTGAATTGATACAGTTCACAACACCATAGAGATCTGTAATTAATGACATATAAACTAAATGTATTTATATCATATTATCAGTGATCTTAAAGAACTGAACATACAAAGTATGGTTCAATAGAAATGAATCAAAATCGGAATGAAACTATTAGTTAGTATTAAAATAAAACCTATGAAAGATGAATAATATATACATCTAATCTGAAGCAATCAGTTTCAATTCATATCACTTAATGCCTTTGGTCTAGTGTGTGACGAAATCTCATCATGGATACAGAAAGCTCGACTAGCTTTTGCCAACTTGCGTCATCTGTGGAGTAGGCGAAATATTTGTCCATCAACCAAAGGACGTGTTTAATGTGCAGCAGTTCGTCCCGTCCTACTCTATGGCTGTGAGACATGACCGGTAAGAGTAGAAAATGTTCGTAGGTTACTAGTATTCGATCATGGGTGTATTCATCATAGGTGTCATTGAAACATTGCTCGTATATCCTGGGACCACCGAGTAACTAATGCAGTTGTTAGGAAACGGGTACTAGGTAAGGATGGTAAATCAATTGATGATGTAGTGAAAATTCATCAGTTGAAATGGCTGGGACACGTGTTACGTATACCCAACCACTGACTGCCACGACGAGTGATGTTTCATGGTGTGGGAGTAGGTTGGAAGAAATCTAGGGGTGGTCAGATCGAAACATGGCACAAATCCATGAAGTCACTGACAGTTGGACTGAGCCATGTTGGTAGGTGTAGATTACCTTGTTGGGATCAGCGAGATGATAGCAAACGATGGCTAGAGACCTTGAATGACATGGCTCAAAATGGTTTGCAATGGTGCAGATGCATCCACTCTTTGTGTTCTCTTGAATCCCAAACGTCTGAATTCTTTGTGTCCCTTTTTTCCTCTTTCCAAATTTATTTCACTGTATTATATTCCTTGAATAACATCTTCAAACCCTAATGTTTCTGATTACTGCTTATACTTTTACTACCTGTACCACTAGAGGATTTGAATCGACAATAGTATATGTGTGCTAATGCGGTATGGCAACTCGAAGTGATGTAAGTACGTACGAAGTTCTACGTTGTTGCTGACTGACTGATTGAATGCCTCCGGTTATATCTTGAAATTCTCTCATAGAACTTATCCAAGAAGTGTATATGTTCCAACAGTCTGTGATTTCAAATATTCGATTAATTGCCTTTAAACTTACTCCTCGTAATTACTATTGGCAACACATTTCTCCACCATTTTAGAATCGATCTACTAATCAACTTTGTTCAATATTGTAACTAATCCCCTTCCATGTGAACTTGTTAGTTAGGTTGTGTTTATCTGATGTTGTTAATTATCCAAAGAGTGATACATTCTATATAACACGTTTAGCTATCTAGAAATTATGAAGCCTTGAAAAGTAGCTTTTAAATACCGATCATAATCTACCTTCTTTAATATTTTTTTTCACTAAAACAGTAATCATATTTATAGTGACTTACTGTTCGATGTAAATTGAAATAGAATGACAATTTATTATTAATAGAGAAGGATTATGACAAACATTTAGATGTGTATCATCACTAACGATAACAAAAAGGGCGAGACTATAATGTACGAACGAACCAATAAGATAAACAGGTCTCGGGTTTTGGCGCGAAATTCACAAATCCGGTTGGCTAAGTAGAATTTTGGCATTATAACTGATGTTACTTCGTGAAGAAAACCCGAAATTCAATTCTTAACCTTAATGATCAACTGTAAATCATAATTCCGATTCCACATACAGGTTTATAACCCTGGTTTAGTCCTAGTTATTAGGTGGACACTCTCAAGGTTATTTTAACGTCGCTCAAATGTTATTCAGAAATTATAGTCTCACCCAAAAAAGTTAATAGTTTTATAACACAGTGTATTTCATGGAATGACGTCGGATATCAAACCATTGGAAACCAATGTACACATAAGATCTTATTAAGAGATCAAACGGCTGAAAGTTATCATCTCTGGAACTTTCGTAGGTCATCAGCAGAAATCCTGCTTGATTTTACGGTTAGATTAATCCTTTTAGAAGTATCTTGGATTTTGCCTAAAATTATAAAATCATTTTTCTCTCAAGTATCAAGAATACTTTCATAATAATGTAATTAATGAGTAAGTTATATTACTGAATAAAGATAAGTATCAGTATTGGATTGTGGAGATTATTAAGTTTTTGATTTAGTTCATGAACCGATTAATGTTAGACCACCATTGAAAACCCAGAACAACTGGATGGCCATTTCATCCTATTGTGGGTTAAGCGTTCGCGATAGGTCTTGGGTTCGAATCCTACTAGCAGAATCGTGGATGTACACTGTTGTGAAGTCCTACAATAAGACGAAACGGCTGTCCAGTGCTTCCATGTTTTCAGTGGTGGTCTAACATCAATCGGTTCATTATCTCAATCATAAGGATAAGTAGTGGAGTTTTCATGCTCAGGGATATATTAACGTTTGTATACATCTTACTAATAAGATCGTAGGTAAATAATCTTGTCATTTTAATGGTTGCTGATGATTATCACACAATCTTAATCTTTCAAGAGAGTTCCAAGGGAAATTTACTCGGAAGATTGGAATATTATTCTGAAATATATAGTCATTCGAATGTTGATTAGTAGGAAACGATAAGTGAAAATCAATGAACATAATTCATATATTAGGTGGTACTGTGGTATGTGCTACTTATATTGACATAAGTAGTATATGATGTTAGTCGTGAACAGAAGGTCTGGCAGCAGAGAGACAAGAAGATCGAACAGTAAAGAACAGGAACAGGATGCAATTTGTATGAAAATGCAAGAACAATGAAGTCTAAGCCATTTTGAGACAATTGGTGGACGTTTTGAAAATTAAGCATTTATTTTATGATTGTTAGATTTTATTAACAAGTCCTGATATTTCGTGTTAAATACATTCGATTGTCCCCACTGGTGTTCTTGTTCACTACATTTGGTGTCGCTGCCAACCAGGAGGTGATGAGTGCTGTTCTGCAAACGCCGTTGTGAGCCTGCGGCTGGGGTGCCAGTTGGGGCAGTTTGGTATGAAGAGGTGGCGTCGAATGGAGTGTTCACTATAGTACCTCCTCAAAAATGATATATTTATAATCATAAGAGAATACTAACGATTACACTTGCCATGCCATATTACAAATTATCCAAGTTTAAAATATAGATTATTCAATTCTAACTCAATAGTGTAGAAAATAATGTTCAGATTTGATAATCTCAAAATCTTAGATTCGATTACTAACATAATCAATGTTATGCATTGTTGAACTGTCCCATATTAAGATAAAAACACTATTTTAATGAAAGATTGATAGTAGCTAGCAGTGGAATCCAGAACACACATTTCGTCCTATTTTGGAACTTATCAGCAAGATGTACTTGCATCTCAGAGTTGATATTCACTCTAGAACTCAAACCCAATTCCGTTTTTTTCAAATGCCAACACATTTTTCACTCAGTTACTGAGTCTTAATAGTTACTTACTTGTACAATGAAGTGAAATTACAAATAAACAACATTAAATGAATTTAAAACTTATTTAATATCAGAAGGGGTTTTGTGTGGATATATTTATAGTAATTTCAATAGTTGAGATCATGAATCAATTGAAGCTAGACCATCATGGAAAACCTAGAACCACTAGACGACTGTTATTGAATGCTTAATTCTTTTCATTGTTTCTATTAGATAATGTCAATTATCTATATTACTTAATTAATTCTTGATTGATGAAACCAATTAATATATAGGATCATATTTCATGGAATATTAGTTAGTTATTATTGATTTTTGAAGAAATCGTTTATCCATTTATATGTACATACATATATTTGTATGTTTGTATGGGAATGAAGGTGTCTGATTTCGTCATGTTTTCTGAGAGCAAAAACACTTTTTTTCTTTTTTTTTCATGAACCAAAAACAAACAAACAAAAATAAATAAATAAGTCAATTCCATAAGAAGATATAACTTCTCTATTCGTTTTATTCAGCTTAAAGGAAATAGTCTACAGAAAGATAAAAGAAACAATTTACTTATGTCACAATTAATTTGTCTATATGATTAGCTAATGATAAAACTATTATTATTATTATTATTATTATTATTATTATTATTATTATTATTATTATTATTATTATTATTAATGTCAGCTTATTAGTTCTTAAGTGATGAGAAGTGAAAGATTGTAGAATGTATAAAGGGGTGAAAATTGTTTGATGAATAAACTACCATGTCTCATAGACTTCTGTTGTTATTGTTGTTTCAATGGTTGAGATCATGAGTCAGTTGAAGCTAGACCATCATGGAAAACCTGGAAGCACTGGATGGCCATTTCGTCCTATTGTGGGACTCCTCAGCAATGCGCATCCACGATCCCGACCCCCTTCGCGATTCGAACCCAGGACCTATCAGTCTTGAGTGAGAACGCTTAATCACTAGACCACTGAGCCAGCCAGCATCCAACGGTGTTAATGTCTAACTTCAGCTAGTCCACGAAATTGTCCGATACATCCACCATTGTCATCAGTGAGTTAATATCTCACAACATACCTGGATGAACTACACTGATCACTGCTTTTCACTAGAACTCCAGGATATATCTCTTGAAGCCAGTCACTAGTGAGCACATGTTGATTAATGTCAGAAGGGGTTTTGTGGATATTATAGTAATTTCAATGGTTGAGATCATGAGTCATGTTTTAACACATATGTATGTGGTTTTTATCGTGGACTGATATATGTTATGATATTAGGTAATATTAGACACTTACTTCATACAAGTGTTCTATTGTTCAGGAATGTACAGTCTTAAGCTGACTAGGAATCGAACCCATAACATTTAATACGCTCTATGAACCTGATGCGTTTTAGGACTTAGGATTTAGCAGTTTATATATATATATATATATATATATATATATATATATATATATATATATATATATATATATATATATATATATATATATATATATATATATATATATATGGAGAGAGACAATTATTCAGTGATATTGGTAATAATAGTCTCACTATACAGATTGGTGAATAATAGTTTATAGTAGTTACGGTATTTTTGAAAATCAGGGACCGCTAAAAAGTTGCTTTTGATTGTAATGTGAGATATTTGAGAAAACGTTTTATGATGAAGCTTTGTTCTCTGAGCTGGATGGTTTGGTCGTGGAGATTTAATCGTTCTTCTGAACGACATCATTAGCACAAACTTCAATTAGAAGTGAAGTATTCGAATTTCTCCACATATGGCTCACAGGTTATCCTGTAGACCTTGATGTTGCACGATGAAAGCTTCACGACCAAACCATCCAGCTCAAAGAAAAAAACTCCATCAAAATCATCCAACTGAGCTGCAAATCTTCACCACCATATTATAAAAAAGCATACTTAGTACAATAGTTCTTTCTATTGTTGATTGCATATACTTTCATCACCCGCATGCATTTATTATTGTTTACTGTCAGAAATGATATTAAAATTAAATGTATTTATTAGATCAAACTACATTTCAACTTAGCATTTGAAGAATAAACTAATCTTAGTTAAATAAGGGAATACTTTTCAACGAATTCATGAATCATTGTTCAGTAAACATTAAGTTTAAAAAAAAATTAAAGTGAATTTCAATAGTTGAGATCATGAGTCAGTTAAAGCTAGACTACCATGGAAAACTTGGAAGTACTGAACGGCTGTTTTGTCATACAATAAAAGCGGGATCGCGGATAAGTGCTGCTGAACAGATTACACCGAGAAATGTAGACAGACATGGGAAGAATGAACAACAATTGAATAGAACTAGAAAGTAAGGCCTAGGACAGAGTGGGTTGTAGAATGCAGGTTGGCGGCCTATGCTGTGAAATTATACCAATTATTTAGACTTAAAGCATTCATTGAATACATTCAATACATCAGGACTATTCATAACTTATGGCACTTACAAAATAATCCCTAATAAATTTCATCTTGAAATGTATTAAAATCAAGTGAAGTTCAAGAATGTAACTAGTCATATATCCTAATCTAAATCACTACGATACTATCGTACCTGCTTCAATTTAGGCACCTACCCAGTATCTCACCCCTCACATAAATTGAATGATATATGTGGCGCATATCTTTATGGTGTCTGTTTGTACCAATGTTTATGTGTTTAAATAAATAAATAGATAAAATCGTATACAATTTCATTAGAATTGTGGTGCGTGCTACTTATATTGATATAAGTAGCATATGACGCGAGACAGGAATGTAATGACTGGCAGCAGAAGATGGGGAAGATCATGAAAGGAAGAGCGGGAATAGAAAGCAATTAGTATGGAAATGCAAGAACATTTAAGTTCGAGACATTATTGAATATTTTTGCAAATTAGGTACTATAGTATGGTTTTTCTATTTTACCAAGTAACTCTGTAATTTTGTGCTAAATATAATTCGGTTGTCTTCACCTGTGTTGTCCTTCACTACAGAATGATCAATTACAAATCCAACTGTAGTCCTTCAAGTTATAATGAAAACATTCATCCATATATATGCATAATATAAATAAAGTATCAAAAAACTTACTTTTCTGAATAACATCCTCTCTATATTGACTATTTGATAAAAATGTACATTTAGATTGTAAATGATCAGAATGTAAATGTTTTAATGTAGATTGAATTACATCAGATTGATCATTAAATGATGATGACAATGATGATGATTGAATTGATTGAGATGGTGAATGATATGTTGTAAGATTTAATAATTGTGACCAATGATCTGTTTGTAAATAATTTACAATATTATTAATATTAGGGATATCATAATTCATATAGTTGTCATAACTACTATTACTACTACTATTACTAGTGGTATTATTAGTAGTATTAATAGTAGTGTTAGTATTGAATGGTAATTGAATTTGTGATAAATAAACATTTTTAAATAATTGTAAAAATAATTTTTCATCTAATTTATTTGATATCCATTTAGAATCTGGAGTTTGTTTTATATCATTAATAGTTGTCATTGATGTCATTGAATGTTTCATTGAATGTTTCATTGATTGATATGGAGTACCATTTTTTATAAAAGTTTTTTGTAAATGTTTCTCTATAGGTAATTGGTTTGTTTCATTATTTGATTGATTATTCAAAGTACTATTACTATTATCATTATTATTATTATTATTATTATTATTATTATTAAGTTCTAATAGAGTATGGATTGTAAATGGTAAATGTTTAGTATCTGTATCGTGTTGTTCTATCATATTCAATGTATATTCAGAATATTTTAACGATTGTTTTGATGAATAAAAAGAAAAACAAAAAAGAAAAGAAAAGAAAAAGAAAATTAATTCAATAATAATTAAAAATTAATTTTTGTTACCCACTAGGGTTTTTTTTCTCTTTCTTTCTTTCCTTCTTTCTTTCTTTCTTTCTTTCTATGGTTTTACGATTAAAATTTTTTCTTTAGTAAATTTAGCTAATCGAATGTTGATTGGCTTAAAATGTTTACGCTTCTTCTCTCATTTCCCACCCACCACCATAAAATCAATCACCCACCTACCCACCGATCGCTTCTTATTTTAATGTATTAAAATTTTTTCTATAGGTTTTTCTCTTTTATTTTCTCTTTCTTTTTCTTCTTTTTCTTTTAACCAATAATTTAAAATTTATTTCTATGTAGGATAGAAATAAAACACAGTTATATTATAAAAGGTATGAAAATTTTATACCTAATTTAATAATAATGATAATAAGTAAATGAAGATAGCCAATCATAATATAAAATTTACGGAATTATCTAATTCTTTTGATTGGTCATTTCAATTTATAGTTAATTTCTTTAATTTGTTAATTGCCTTTTAATTATTGTCATTTCTAGTTGAGAAGCTGTGACCAATGGAGTTCAACCAGGTTCGTTGTGAGATATCAACTCATTGAAGACAATGGTGTAAAGTGGCGCAACTTCGTGGATTGGTTTAAGTTAGACATTAACACCAATGGACGCCGGGTGGCTCAGTGGTCTATTTGGTTAAGCGCCTGGTGCGAGACTGATTGGTTCTGGGTTCGAATCTCGCGGGGTGCGGGATGGTGGATGAGCACTGCTGAGGAGTTCTATACTAGGACGAAACGACCGTCCAGTGCTTTCAGGTTTCATGATGGTAAAATTCCTAAACTCTCCAAAAAACCCCTTCTGGTAATTTCAATAGTTGAAATCATGAGTCAATTGAAGCTAGATCACGATGAAAAACCTAGAAGCACTGGATGACCGTTTCATCCTATTGTAGGACTCCTAAGCAGTGCGCATCCATGATCACGTCTCATGAGATTCGACCTCAGAACATATCGGTCTCCTACGCGAGTGCCTAACCATTAGATTACTCAGTCGGCCGGAATTAAACGATGTTAGTGTCTCACTTCAAGTAATCCACAAAGTTGAGCGACACATCCACCATTCTGTTCAGTGAGTTTCTATCATACAACAAACCCAATTGAAGACGATTGGTTTGAAAATATGAGATCAAATGAGAAGATTCAAGTAATTACTACTAAGTGAATTTTAAACTTCATCCCATTTTACAATGCTAGTGGCTATCAGTACTTAGTAGCTAAGTAGATGGTATTTGAAGCGAAAGATACTGAGTTCGAGTCTCAGAGTGAATATCACTTCTGAGATGCAGATACATCCAGTTGACGAGTTGCAAAATAGGACGAAATATGTGTCCTGGATTTCACTACTATCCACTATCCATCTTTGTTTATGATGCTTGTGAATTAAGCTAATATCGAGGCATTCTATACAGTATGCACATATGCCAATAAGATACTGATCAATTGCAGTCCTAAACAACAATGGGAACATTCAAGTAAATAATAGAAATTGGTCTGAAAATAGTTTTGAAAAAAGATTCATTGAACAAGACGTTGGGACATACTGCCAATAAAAATATGAAATTATTTAAACTGATATATTATATCCTAAGCAGTTGCTGTCCTGCTTATTTCAGGAGGGTTCAATTAAAAGAATTTCTAGTGTTTAGGATTAATCTAAATGGAATCCTACTTCAAAGCAATAAATAAACCATATATAATGATTTAGTGTTTGAATGAACTAATGATTCCTTTGTAATTGTTGAATGCGTGATTTCCAATTCTAAATACAGTACATTCGTTCGTGCTTATCTAGTACTTCTTGATCCAATTACGTTATTTCTGGGATTCTCAGTTCATACTATAATTAAAAATACTTCTAATGATCACATTAGCTTCGCGATGGAGCCTGTGATGGAATTGTTGGGTATACATTCATATTTTGATGCTTTTGAGGATTAATTTGAAAGGTTCGAAATCTGAGCTACGACAGAGGAAGATTATGAGGATGTTAATATTGTAACCTATTTCCTCACATTCATCAGAAAAGAAGCATATAGCTTATTAAAAACTCTGGCTTTACCGGAAGAGCCCATTTAGCTTCCTTTTACAACTCTCAAAGAACTACTGCTAGACTATGTTAAGTATACAAATTTCGATTGCAATAAAGGGAGATTTCGTAAAATGATTCATGAGCATATAAAAAATTCCACTATATTACGTCACCCCAACCCAGCCCATACTCAAGGTTATGCAGATGATTCATTGTGGAGTTGTAATGCAGTTCAGGAAGATGGGCACAAGTTTGATCAAAGCTTGGAGATTATAGTAACTTAATAGTTGAAATCATAAATCGATTAGAGCTAGAACACCATAGAAAACGTGGAAGCATTGTACGGCTGTTTCGTTCCATCAGGGGACTCTTCAGTGGTGCGCATCCACGATCCCACTCACATGATTCGAATCTAGGACCAATTGGTTTTGTAACTCACTGAAGACAATAATAGACGGTGACGCAATTTTGCGGGTTTGTCGAAGTTAGACAATAACACCGTTGAATGCAGGCTCAGTGATCTACAGGTTAGGCGTTTACGCGCGAGACCGAAAAGTCCTGAGTTGAATTCCCATTTGCGGGATCGCAGATTTGCACTTATGAGGAGTCCCTTAACAGGACGAAACGGCCGTTCAGTGCTTCCAGGTTTTCCATGGTGGTTTAGCTTTAATTGACGAAGATCGAAATGGTCATCCGGTACTTCCAGGTTTTCATGTTGATCTAGCTTTAATTGATTCATGACTATTAAATTACTATCATATCCACAAAACCCCCTTCAAATAAATGTATAATAATAATAGCAGTGTTTTCCAAGGATTACTTTAGAAATAAATCCTGGATGTTTTAATCAGAAGTTTTAATTTATATAATTCAACCATGTCAATAGAGTGAGTTAGGTATCACTGATGTAATTAAAAATGCATTTAAACTCCACCCCATCGCACAAAGCTAGTGGCCATCAGGACTCAGTAGCTAAGTGGATGGCGTTTGGAGTGAACGTTACTGAGCTCGAGTCCCAAGGTGAGCATCAATTCTAGGATGCAGGTGAATCCAGCTGACGAGTCCCAAATAGTACGAAACGCGCACTCTGGATTCCACTGATAACCACTGTATATCTCTGTTGATATTTTGTTGTAAATTGGATAAAACTTTGAAAAATGAACTTTTGAAATACAATTCAACGATCTAATATTATCATATCAAGCTTGTGGTTTATACTTTCAAGGTTTAGTCTACTACTTTATCAGTCAGTCAATTATAAACTGCTTGGAATCCGGTACAAATATGATTCGACCCACATTTTTATACCAAAACAAGACAATTGGATGAATAGTATAGAAGTTATAATAATGTTGTAAAAATAATAATGAGAAAGGGCGAATGGTAAGAATATGGCACGAAACTCAAGATCTAAGAAAAATTAAAGAATAAACCTACCTGTTTGATTATGGCAGATTTCGAACCATATCCTCTTATTCATCCAACCGTTCATTGCGGTTATCAGCTCTATCTTAAGCAGATAGTCTGAATCTATCTATCAATATAGCTCCAAACCAATGGTGTAAATGGGCTCCAGTTTCCCAAGAAAACAAATGGCTTATGAACCAATCATTGGTCACCGACTACCATGGGACTACATCTCCTTACGTTGTTCTACTGCCATGTAGATTAGACTTTTAGGTCAAAGGCTCGAGGTGTAGTCCTTAAGAAAATCACCTGCTTTGGTTTGAGCACCCGGGTAGTATCCCAGGCCTCACAAAAATCATTCGATTTATGTGGTGCATATTTATTTTGAGCCTCCTTGTACCATTGTTTATGTGTTTAAATGATAAATAATAATCATAGTTCAAGAATCCTTTATAAACAGATCGATTAATGAATCTTTTTTTTTACTAAAATTCAACATGTGGTATCTGTGATGTAATTGGTTTGTCCATAAATTATTTTCTCGCTCCTTGTTTATATTAATAATCAACTTTAGTTATAAAAAAACACTCATTACGTCATTAGAAGTATGGGTCAGGTATATTTCCCTGTTGATTATTAGGGCTGAATCTAAGACTATTCTTTGTTGGTATATAATTAAAGTAAAAGAAACACTAGCAGTTCAATTTCCTTCCTCAAACTGTAATACAAAAGTGGACAAGTGTAGGTATCTGTAAACTGCTTATGCTAATCGATATCGGTCCCTAGCTGAAAAGGAATGATTAAGACATACGATCTCAATAACAATAATTACTAATCAATCCAATCATTTATGTAGCCAAAGTTGATTCAGTTAACATTTTTGTTGTTAATAACAACATCAAACCTATTCTAAGTTGTGGTCTAAACAACTTTGTGGGCAGTTAATTGGATCTGACATGAGTGTATTTGTTTAGCTTCAACTTTTGGTCTTATATAACATGTTGGGATGAAGAATAGCTGAGAAAAGTGGAAGAAAAATGGTCCACTTAATGATAACAGATGCATATTACAGGATCCACAAATACCAACATGTCTTAGAGGACCAAAAGGTGAACCTACAAAGGACACTCACGTCAGGACATTTGAAAATCTTAACAACAGCTAACGAAATACCTTACCGTACATCCTTGTTTACTAACCAGATAAGGGATAGTTATTTAATCAACATGAGATTTACTGTTAATTAATGAGTGTAATAAAAACGAATTAGTATAAGAGGTTTGTAAAGATTGTTCAATTTTTAGTTTAGATCATAAATCAACGTTAAATAAACAATCAGAATATGGTGTATAGCGATTTCATTTTAGTATAGGGTTACTCACTAGTGCAAACCTATCACCACCCTGTAACCTGAATATCCTATATTTCATCTTG